CACTACTGACTGCGAAGTGAGGGAGGTAGCTTGGTAATGAAGTCACTTTTGGATTTGTCATCGAGGTCGCCGTTGTGAATACGGCAAGCCGTCGGTTACGAACACCGGCGCAAGACAACAAACATGCAGCAATCGATCGCGGCGTTTTCTGTTGCAATATGAGCTACCATCATACGAGGCCCTTGTCAATACTACCTCCTGCAGTTTCGTCGTCCACAACGCAGCTGGATATCACCTGTGATCGTTATGCTATCTTGTTGCGTTCAAGCTGGCCTCTGTGCATGAATCTTGTCACGAGAGCCTCGTCTATGGGTTGCCCTCGTCTTCTTCGTCGCAACAAGCAACAATACCTTCAGTACGTACACCCTGCCGTTAGACCGCTCGTTTCCTCCATGGAGCGTGAGCTTGCGTCCACCCGATGCTTCCTTCCGCCGTCCCATCTTGATGTCGCCGTCCGCGCGCAAATTTCAGACTGTCGAGAATCTTGACGCTGATTGGTAGATCCAGCATCCTGTAAACTCCGATATCCATAAAAAGAGGTTTTGTCGTGGAGGTAATAAGGCGACACATTCGTGTCCCCTCTCGACTTTACGAACAGTCACGTTGATAAAAAAGTCGACAAAATCCAGGTTATATGGAAATTTGTACGCAATCGTTGTCGTAGATTTAATAATATTATTACCTTTGAAGTTGTAAAGGAATGCCTGGTATTAGTACTTTTGTAGCAAGAAGTACAAAATGTTATATGTAACCGCTTGCCCACGAAGTCACGTGTTCTCTGGACGACCCGCTTGTCCTGCTTCCAGCCGTCAGTGAACTCAAGCGAGTCCTTGGGGCGACGGCCGCCTGTGGCACTGTAGCTGCTACCCCAACTACTGCCGCCGCCGCCGCCGTCAAACGCCAAGCGATACAAAGTATCCAACGACGGTGCAAGGTCTTTGGCATGGACAGCGGCACGAATGAACGCGCTTCAGCTTTGCCTAGCTCGTTGAAAGCCAAACCGAAGCATGTCAAGATGCCGTCACAAGTAAAACTCGTCGTGTCCACCAACCAGTCGCTCGACAACCAGTTTGACGGTCGGACTCCACCCTCGTTGACGGGACACTGAAGGGTCAGCGATCGATAACGTGTCCGACGTCGTTCGGAGCTCAAACACACGCACGACCACATTGAAGAGAAATGGTTTTTTAGTTGGCAAACACTTGCAGAGAGTTTACGACGCGGTTTTCACCGCCAAAAATGACATTCCAAGGACCGTCTTGGGTTTCGGTGAACGCGAACATGACTTTGTTCTTTGGGTCGTTGTCGGTGTTAAACTCCTTGGTACCTTCCAACCAAATTGGCACCCGGTCGCGGTCCTGCGCGTTCGAGCCGACGGTGAACCAGTAATCGGTCGACGGAGCCAGGACGATCTGTGACGTAGGGGACCAGTTAAACTCGAATTGCTCGGACAACGTGTTAATGGAGATGCGGCCAGGAAGGTCGGATCTGGCGCAGTTCGGCTCATCTACAAGTCCACCATGAGACACCAATTGCGATACCCCCCTCAAAGCAGTTTCGCACCATTGACAGAAGAGCAGATGCCAACTTGCAGCACCGTGCCAGGGGCCGCGTAGGACGTGTCCATCGCAAAGGTGACATGGCTGACGGTGAGCCCTTCTGATTCGCACGCGTCGTCAGAGGCCGGGAGACTGTGGAATCGCACGGCAGCGGTGCGACTTTTTGAAATGGCGAAGCCGGTGGAACCCTTGTCGAGGGGGTAGTGGCTGTCAAACACGACTTTGGTCGCGACGGCGACTTGGACGAGACCGGCAAGAAACTTCATGGCAGAGACAATGTTGAAATGACGGTAGGGTGGGCCACACATCGTCCAACGGGGTGTCGAACCGCATGCCCCGAGACAAGCTCTGCGACAGTGTAGCAATTGTCCCACCCCAGTCGTGCAATCACGACCAGCAGGAAATTCCGCGTCGGTGCGACACGCTTCGGCACATGTTCATCAGACGCTTCTTCAGGTCGTGAAGTGCGATTCATCGGACGTCTAAGAGTGACACCGCCAACCGGCCAACCTGATGCTTTTCTCCAAGAGAGTCGTGTACAGTACGTGATGTGTAGGGGAAATTCGTTGTATGTCTACACGCATGCAGCACCATGACATGCTCCTGCCGTCACCCGAGAAGTTTTTTTCGCCGTTCACGAAGAGAGTCTTGTGCGTATAAAATATGTATATGTATCCGTCTCTAGGCTAAATGGTCTAAGGTTCGATGCCTTGTCCTTTCGGTCGACAATCCGCGGTCGAGCAAGGAAATCTTGATGGCCGTCATCGTCATCGTAGTGCGCGGCGTCCTCGCCAAGTCACACTGTGACAAAACTCCACAGCCACCAATGCTCGATATGGAATACACATCTCGTGCATGTGAGAGAAGAGGATGCCATCACCACGTCGAGGTAACCTGTCAGCATTCCCATCGACTGGCGAGCTCGACTGACGATGCTGCACCACCCCGCATCCAGTGACAGGTTGGCCCAGTAGACTGTGACACTCCTAAACGTCCGATGCAACGACCTTTCACGACGTGAAAAAGCATCGGAAGAACGCGTCTGACGTGTGTCGCACAACTGGGATAGATGGTGTAGAGTATCGTCATCGTGTTGGGACACGTACCTGCGACGATTTTTCAATTGAAAAGTATAAGGGAGCCACGTATTTACTTGGAGTTTATATTGTCCAAAACCAGGGCTCGAAGTTTGGCCATACCTTTGTAAAAGTCCCCTTTTAAGAACACCTTACAGCAGCGAGCGACGACAGAGCATCCGCCCAGGCAATTGTGCATGCTGGAGCAACGTGGATGAAGGTCGTGTGTATAATGTCGTTTGCAGGCGGTGCTTTGGGAAGGAGCGAGCCCCACTCGTATGTCCAATCTATTCCTCTCTCGTCGGGAAATGCAGCAGGTACGCCTTTTGAACTAGACAACAAGGAATCGCACAATTTCACGAGTATTTTCGATCCCGTCTCTTGGCCGTGTCGCACCGACCCAACTGAATGGGACATTCCAGGGCCGGACGTTTGCACATCATGTTTCCAGTCGCGACGGACAATGGCAACACTGTCGCAGTGCATGTCGCGGTGCATGTGGTTCGACACTCAACGGTGGCCCCCCACCGTCATCGGAACATTTTCCGCGTCCTCCATTGCCATGAAATTTCTCACCGGTCTCGTCCATGTCGCCGTCGCATCCCAAGTCGTGTTTGACAACTTCCGCATCGACTACTTCTTGGGCCATCGACTCATCATCGGGAAAGATCACGGCGTTGCCACGCGTTTCCGCAACCTTCCTATCGGGGCCGACTCATAGGGGCTCACCGTCGACAGTGTCATCTTTAAGATGGACACGTCCAACGTGGCCCCTGGCACGGTGCTACAAGTTGGCATCTGCTCTTCTGTCAACGGTTCTAGATTGCTTGGAGGGCATCGCAGTATTGGCCTCACGGTTGACTTGTAGATGTGCCGAACTGCACCAAATCCGACCTTCCTGGCCGCGTCCCCATTGACTTGTTCGAAGAGCGAATCGATGTGGCATGGTTCCCTACGTCACCGATTGTCCTGGATTCGTCGACCCAATACTGGTTTGTCGCCTTCACCAACACGGAGCGTTCAGGATATTCACCAGAGTGGTGGTTCGGACGCAAGGTATTTAACAACGTTAACGACCCAAATAGAGACGTCATGTTTGCGATCACCGGATCCCCAGGCGGCCCCTGGGAGGCCTTTTCTGACG